CTACTTAACAAAGAAATTATATAGTCATTCTGTTTAGGTGATTGGAAACTCATTTCCCAAATAAGAACATTTATCTTTTTTTTTTTTTTTTTTTTGGTACCGGGGATTGAACTCTGGTCCTTGCTCGTGTGAGGCAAGCGGCAGAACCACTAAGCTAAATCCCCAGCCTCCAAATAAGAACATTTATGAAGTATAGCAAATGGCCAAAAAAGTGAATACATATAAATACTACATGAAAGAAAGGTGTATTCAACAAACATCCCACAGTACTGACAGACATACCAGAGGAAGACTATCCTGTTAAAAATGTACTTATGTAGGGACAGGTGTACCTCAGTGGTGAGTATATGCTTATTCTGCACAAGGTCATGGATTCCATCCTTAGCACCTCAAAAATTACTTATGTAGAACCACAGCCTGAAGCTACAAACTGAAAACAAAATTTGAGGTTCATTAATGAAAAAATTCCAATCATTTACATCATTTAGATAATAGGAATTAGAAGAAATAAGTTGAGCTGGACTTGGAAAGAACAATCTGGCTGCCCAAGATGGGACTAAGAATGTATTCTATTTACAAAGAGATATCTACAAGTTAAAAAGTACACTATGGGCCTACCTAAAATCATGTTTTTCCTACAATAGCCCCAGAGTAAGAGCAAAATATGGCAGCCTCATTTCACAGGTGAAGATACTGACATTCAGTATTACAGCCTTCTCTGTAAGGGGTAGGAATTGGCTTAGCCCACGCATTCTTCTGACCTAAATGCATAGTATGATGTAGATAAAATATGCATAACTCTGAGTCTTTCTCAATTCATGAAGTTTCTACTTCCTCATCTCCAAGTTTTTCTGAAATAATCTACACTCCTATTTCAATGTGGATTTTCATAAGAGAAATACAAAAGAGCACAACAGCATCTTACAAAATCTAAGATGTAAACTTTTTCCTTTTTAAATATTTCCTGGCCCTGGAATGTGTCTTATAAATGGCTTGTTGTGATTAATATGCACCAGTACCAAACTTGGATGTCATTCTCTAACATCCACATTCACTAACATGCCATAGGCATTTATATTATCGTCACCTTGATTGAATTATGCAGTTGTTGGTGTGTGAGTAGAAAATTATTTTATATGTAGAAAGGGGTATAAATTTGATGTTGGCAATATGAATTCTGATACCATTATTACTTTTGGAGTAATGACTATAATTTCATATTTTCTTTTTTTTTTAACTTCATATTTTCTTACAAAACAACAACTTAGTGCTCTGTATGACCTAAGAAATGAAAATATCCAAAGGCAGATAAAATGTTACCGTTCATTACTGATATAGGCATGACATGCAACTAAAGGCAAAAAAAATGTTGAATTCCTCACAACACATGAAAGAAAGTTTAAAGCAACCAGAAGTAACAAACAAACATGCTGAGCAGGAGTATTATTACAGTATAATAACAGTGTCATTTTCTACATCTTTTTGTTCTTGATTGTTGTGAAATCATTTTTATCTTATTTTATAGCATTTTAGGTTACGTTGTTCTGGTCCTGTCTTGCTGTGTCTAAAGCTACCTTTCCTGCTCAGCTGATGGAGAATATCAGGAAGTCCAGAGTAGTCAAAACCAAAATCAAACAAATAAGCCTTTACAACCATAATTTCAATTGTAAAATCAAGCTGTCTGATGGCAAATCAGTCTTTAGTTCAACTCAACACAAACATCCTAGACCAGAGTTTTGATTTATCAAAAAGAAAACAAGTCTCCATTGGCTCTCTAAGCTTTCACAAAAATGATTCTTTATAATTCCATGGTAATTGTAGAAAATATTCATTTTTTTGTTATTTTCTTAGCAATTAAGAACATGTACAGAAACTACATCAAAATATGTATAAGAACAAATAAGAAGGATACTTTTGGTAACCACATGGCCAAAGAAATACCATGTTCTCTTGTTTTCGTATGTTTTCTAAATAGTTAAGGAACAGAGAATATAGGGTATATATATATAAATGGATAATCTGTGGTAGCAGCCTACGGCCCCATAGGTTATGTTATCAGCAGAACCTTGGACATGTTTAATGCTAGAAGCAAGCATTCTGTTAACTTGGTTAAAGGACGAAAATCAGCCTGGTGAGTAGTGAGCTGTATACCTTTCTGACCTTCTCAAGAGCACAGCCTCAGAGGACTTTATCCACTCTGGGTGTAGTAGGATGGCTCCACCCAGGTCAGAGTTTACTGAATTTCCTCCAGCGAGCTTTTGTCCCAAGGAAACTCAGGAATCCCTGTCATTTACACCCTGGTCCTAGCTCCTTCTCTGCACAAGCTTGACACTCTCCTATGAGCCCTGTGTCACTGATCTTACCCTGGTTATCTGATTTCCAGCTGTGCTACCAGGATTAGAACTTTCTAACATAAGGACCAGAGGCCTTTCTAAGCATTGGCTGGCTTTTCATTTACAAGACTTACTGGAGTAGAAGGATCATATTTTTTTTAATTATGTAAGGAAATTAATCAATTTCAGATCCTCCAAAAGAAACAGGACTTTCTTTGTAAAGCTATATTAGCACTTGAGATTTAAAGTATTTCCGCATGTTTGATATTTTTTGTACCTTAATCCACTATGAACTGATCATTTGTCATATGTTCTACATATAAGCTGTAGTGAGGAAAAATTACAGAGTTAGAATTTCTGTCTTTATTTCTCCAGACCATGGAGATTGCTGAGCCTCAGTGTTCCTAAAGGCAAATGTATTAGCTTAGGTATCAGGAACATCATATGCCCCAGATTTTTCTGATAAAACATGCTATGCCTCTGTCATGTCCAGGTGAAATCAAGATTATGTTAATCTCTTTGGAAACCTGTGCTTGATTTAAGGGAACTGTGAAATGAGATCCTATCTGCCTCTTAGCTCTTGCCTTTCTTCTCAGGAGGGAGAAACAGTGATCGCATCTCATTGAAAGCTCTCCAGCTGCAGTTTAAAACTCTTTTCTTTTTATTCTCTCCTCAAGTTGAGAACAGCTCATTTCTATTTTCTATTTAATAATCCTGAATGATTTGACAATTGTTCAGAAGAGCATTCCCAGGTTTCTCTTTTTGACAATTTACAAATCTACTCCTTCAAACTTTAATCATTTGTTTAGCTTTTCAACATTTCAGTATCTCTCTCCTGACTGTGTGGTGGGCAATACATCTCTCCACATGCTTGAAACTATTGTCCTCAAATAGTAGACAGAGAAGATTAAAGAAACTGCTTTCCTCTCTGGATGACTATAAAGCACTTGAGCTTAAGTTCTCACACTTTCAAGGAGTAGTACAGAAACTCATTTAAGAGCACAGATTAGAGGACTATATTGCCTGGGTGTGAGTCCCAGGTCTGCCACTTAACTAGCTGTGTGATCTTGAGCAAACTATTGAAACCCTCTGTACCTCACTTTCCTCAATTGTGAAATGTTTTCACTGTCTCTCCCTTGAGTTATTCTGAAGATTAAATTGGCATATGTAAAGTATTTTAAATAATATTTGCAAGTGATAACTATAATTATTAAGTTGCAAAATCAAAAGCTGTTTGTCAAGATCCATGCTGGAGGTCTATTCTGAATTCCAGATGTCCTGTTTATAGTAATTTAAAATGCTAGCCCTTTGTGTTTTTATTTTGACATTTACTTGCCTTTTTCTCCTAAAAATGTAAGGCCTGGATATGTTAGTTTATACAATTCCTTTTTAAAGATTATCAGTACCCTTAGAGTTTGTAAGCGCCTTTTTACCTCCATAAATTGTTCTTGGGATTAGGAAAAATAAGTTTTTGTGTGATGGGCTATAAACAGTGACCAACCATCTCAGTTTGCCTGGAACTAAGAGGTTTCTTCAGACCTAGGACTTTTACTGTTAGTTTGGGGAACATCTTTTGGAAAATGGTGTTTAGTTTAAAGGTACTAAAGTACATAAGGTAAGGGTAGAACAGGGAAAGGAAGAAGTGTGTAGCATTAATCTCATCAAATAATTCTTGGCACAACACCACCATTGACTTGGTTTTTTTAGCAGTGCTTGAGGATTAAAACTCCGGCCTTCCACATGCTAAGCACATGCTCTGCCACTGAGCTACACCCAAGCCTGTAGCTTTGATTTTTGACTCTTGCATTCCCTGGTGAGAATCTGAAGATTGTAATTGTGCTGAACTAATTAATTTTAAATGTCAGGCATTTGGACTTCATTTTTTGCTGTTATCGTCATCTGTGGGATTTTTTTCCTCCTCCTTCATTTTATGTATTCTGCCTTCCTGTGATCATTTTGTGCTTGTTATTTTTCTTTTAGGTCAACACAAATCAAAACATACTCTTGGGATAATGCCCAGGTTATCCTGGTTGGGAACAAATGTGACATGGAAGATGAGCGGGTCATCTCAACCGAGAGAGGCCAACATTTAGGAGAACAGCTTGGTAAGAAATAAATTAACGAAAGAACTTGGTAATTATTTGTAACATAGGGTGGGGTTAATGACAGTTTGTCAACAGTGAAAAGCAGTTGGTAGGTTTCTTCCTATTTACTGTGGCATTGATTTAATTTGAGCACAATTACAGGAACAAAAATGATTCCCACAATGTTGGGGTTAGCACAAAGTATTCAAATTCTTACTCCATAAGAAATATGGCTTATGATATTTAGATTTTTTGCTTCATGCACATCATTTTGCATTGAGTGAGCATTTTATTTTATTGTGTAATTATTTTTGCTTTTAAGTTTCTGGTAAAGGATGATAATGCCACTGAATAGGTCACATCCTTGATTTTGGTTCTAGGGACATCATTGATAAGCCATGTACTGTTATCAACCTTTTCGAGATTCAATCTCCATATCTCTCAAGAATGATTATTATTCCCAGCACTCTGGAAGGGTAAGACAAGAGGATTATAAATTAGACCCCAGCCTAAGCAAGTTAGCAACTTAGGAAGATTCTGTTTCAAAAAAAAAAAAAAAATACACTCACATGCACACACACATACATACACATGAAGAGCTGAGAATATAGGTTAGTGTGTGAAGGCCTTAGGTTCAGTCCTCATTACCAAAAAAGAACGAAAAAATAAGTAGCATAACTTATGCCTACTTAACCAAGCCCTTATAGATAACATCAAACGAGATAATATGTGACAGCTTTAGAAATAGCAAAGCCATTTCAAACACAAACATTGCATCTAAACAGCAAAATACTAGAGTAAGGTAGAGTTTCAGTGTAAAGGAGGAACTGATGACTGATTAACTTGAGACATTATTACTAACCATCTATTATACACCCTTCATTGTGTCAGATATAAGCGGGGAGCAAAAAAAGTGTGATCCACAGTTACTGGGCTCAAGCTGCCATCAGTCAGATAGGGAGACTAGAGATACACACAAGAAAACAAAAGTAACAAGACAACAAAGACAAGTCAATGAGAAGTTGATGAACCAGAAGGCAGATGCTGAGAGGAAAGCAGCAGGGAGAGAGAGACAGATCCCTGGTGAGAAAGACTGCCAGGAGGAGGGTTGGAGGAGACCTGGACAGAGGCAGGCAGGGCAATGCAGAGAAGATGCCTACAAAAGTAGTGGGTGGGAACTGTTGAGTGAGGAGAGGAGATAGAAACCATATGGGTTAAATGCAAGCTATGGCTAAAGGTCCCTAAAAAAGATCCAGATTTGAAAACGACCAAGAGGAGAGAAGGCATTGTGAGTGAAGGGTCCACAGGAGCAGGACATTGAGAGAAGCCAACATTGAAAGACAGTGAGTAAAGATGTTAAGACCTAACATGGTGTTGCGCAAGTACATTGTGGATTTCAGCTCTAAATGTTAAAGAACTAGAGGTCTTTATTTATGTGCCTGGTTATGTTTTCTCTAGAACAAGAGAATGTTGAAGGACTTTTAGCCAAGAAGAGCCAAACTGTCCAACCTTTTTGACCAGGACCTGCAGTAGGAAATATATTCAATTGAGCAACCCAGTGTTTTTTGTTGTGGTTTTTTTCTTATTTTTTCCCCCTTCCCCTGCCCTCCCTTCAACCCCTCCATCCCTCCCTATTTACAAAGACTTTGTTTCCACTTTTTCATTTTCTCATAT